TGATGAGCGCGGGTTCTAAAAGAGGTGTCGATCAGAGAACTCAAAAGTCCAACATTTTAGACAGTTTAAGGCAAGACATTTGATTTGTTATAATTTTTTAGAAGTTGATGGATAATACTATTTCCATTTTAGTAGTGAAAAAATCATGAAAGCTGCGAGTTCCAATATGGAAGTGCTATAGCATTTAATACGATGCAGCTCTCAGAGAGTCTATAAATGCCATCCACAGATTTGAGAAATTTTCGCAAAACTCCAATCTCAGCAAATTTAGTGATTATTCAGAGTATATGATAATATTTATAATAAAAATATTTCGGTTTACAGACTTTAGTTTTTCTATCTATAATTTAATAGCCACTGAACATTAACAAATTGAAGCATTTTCCTGCAGTACGTACTGGACCGGATATGATTTGATATTTTGTACAAATGGATTTCAAACATAGCTCTAGAAACTATGAAGCCCTTCTTCAATGAATGGAACACTTTATGTTCGTTCCTCGCGAACCTTATGTATTGCTGAAGGAGATTTGTCGCAGTGATATACTTAGTGAGTTTGATGATAATGGAAGAATTCTCCATGACAGGAAGGTTGCACAGAGTTCATTTAGCATCTTGCATAAAAACATTTTTCTACCGAGTTTCATTTCCGTTTTGGGAACCGGCTATGTGGATTTCCGTCCCCATTATCTTAAACCAATTCGGGCAATGTAATCACACGTCTTTCTTGATTTTTTTAAAGTAAATTCTCACGGCCTCAAATAACGCAATGTTGACGGGTCGTTTGTGATCCATTGTCCTATATCATCCAACACCATTAATCATAACAATCGCATTTGTCCTTATTTGTCAAATATTAGTTGTGTGGTCTCCTACGGCTTATATAATTGCTGATTTGGAGGCTTAGTCTTTGATGTTCGTGTTAGACGTCAGCTGACTAAGAACTCTTCTGACTGCAAACCTGTCTGTTTTAAATTTTGTTTCAACCTACGAAGTACCTGTCTCATGTTCAAAAAAGACGGAGAGATTCTTGGGACGTTCCAGATGGGTTTGGAATTTGCAACGTGTGGCGCTATAGTCGCATCTAGCACTACTCTGGTGTTATCATTAGGCATCATCTATACTATGCAGTCGCAAATAACGTCCATGTGGTCCGAGTTGGATGCTGAGATGGAGGAATTCAAGGTAACCGTTTATGAAGATCCATCATATTAATAAACCTCCAGTGGCTAAAGGCCCTTACCAATGACACCTGGGAAGCGATGCTCACTCTTGGAGTGGGAACACCATCGAACAGGCAAAGACGGCAGATGGCCTATGGGGGTGGATACAATGCTAGAGGAAGAAATACCCAATCATCAAGCAGTGAAGAAAGTAAGGAAAATTCTTGATATAAAAAACACTGCTCGCTCAATAATGATGTATTT